TGGGTCTGTTGTCGTCTTGTACGACGTTTTATCCGTCTTGGTGTATAATATTGTTGCCAATAATCAGATGGTGATGTTGTATTTTTTAATAATTTTAAAAGAAATTCAATTTTAATAAAATAAATAAACAATATTTTTGATATCAATGCATAAAAATACCTTTCAGTATTAAAGAGTTTTCCAATAGGATGAGACATATGAATACTCTTTTTTTTTTAAGATAAAGTAATAATAGTATGAAAGGAAGTAATAATATTAAAGTTTTATTCCACCAATAGGTGTTTTTAATGCCATTGATATCAAATGTATTGATTATTATTTTTGTTAGACTTATTTTTAGGCTAAAACTAACTTCTCAGTGTGCCCATGACTACTGGAATACTATTTTCTTTTCCTTCAACCAGTGTAGATTTGTTTGACAATACTTACTTCTAAAGTATAAAGAGGTTTTTCTTCTTCTGAGTCTGATAGTTTAAAAAAAAGCATTGATATATAGCAGATTGAGATGCAATAAAGTTTTTATATTCAATTATGGACTGTTGTTCGAAAAACAAGTTATTATGTAATGTAAAATAATCTGATAGAAAGTAGATTTTGATCATCGGTTAGTTATCGCTATAGTGACGCAAGTTATAAAAGAGATTGTTTTCGTATAAACTTCGGCTAGATAAAAATAGATTTTATTTCAAGTTGCTATATTCCCATAAAATAGAATAGACGTAGATGTTTTTCGCATAGTTTTTGCTAATTGTGATTTTCAGAATGGATAGTGGATCCAAAGTGTGAAAGTTGTTAAAGTAGTTTTTAAATCTCGATATTGTGGCTTTTCTATTTTGTCTGAAACTATAGTCTGATTTCCTATATTTTGTAAGTGAACAAGAGTTAGTTGTCACAATGGAGTGACTATATTGACATGTCTGTTATGAAGAAGAATGCTTTAGAAGTTGAAGATTAAATTATGAGAACAGTCCATATCCCAAAGTTTCTGAGACAAAACATGGAAAATGAACTTTGCATCTTCTAAAAGAAATAATCTGAAAGATTATTTAGCGAATGTATTGTGTTTTGTTTGAGATATTGTAAAACCACATGTCGAAAAACTTGAATTTTCTCATCTTTATTTGTCGAATATTGGGTGATATTCTAAGATTTTTAATAGTTAATGAAAAACGAGTTCTCACTCATATATAAAACGGATGTTTCAAACAATTCGACATGAAGAGGTTGATCGATTATGAAATTTAATTTAATTTAAAATTATTAAAATTAAAAATTAAAGTCAAACAGCATACTTGACAATAATTTTTCAACATCACCTTAAATTGACAAGATCAATTGCGTCATATTAATAAAAAAAAACAAGAAAAAAGATGGATGTTTTAATGTTTAAGTACACTTACACTGAAAGTTTTGTCATATTCTAACTTTTTAAGATAAGTCTTACCACTATTCAATATTAAAAAAAAAAACACTTGCTTAGAAAACCAATGAAGAATCTTCCTCATATAATCATCGATATGTGTGTTTAAACACAAATACACAATTTGCAAGATGAAGATCATGGTGTTCCAATAGGAATACAAAAATAATTTAATGCCAAACGCCAAAAATTATTTTGTCTTGATTGTTTTTTTGTTGTTTTTCTGTCTGCACTATTCGTTTTTATTTTACTTTTTTTTGTCGATAATAATGCTTGATGTTCAATTTCATCGACACCACTAACCGTACAACAGTCAGCTAATAAAACACAATGATTTTCATGAACAAATTTATCTCGATTTAAACGTACATGGGCATATTCAAAATCAACTGATCGACGTCGATTACCACTATGACGTTTTCGATGATGTGAATGTTTTCTAGTTATACTTTGATGTTGACATTGGGTCTGTTGTCGTCTTGTACGACGTTTTATCCGTCTTGGTGTATAATATTGTTGCCAATAATCAGATGGTGATGTTGTATTTTTTAATAATTTTAATTCTATATCCGATTCTAAAAGATTAAATAAATCACAATATTCACTAGTATTATAATATCTTTTAAACTGATAAGGATAATCTAGTTTATGGTGTGGTTTGATAATTAATGGAGGTGAAGATTGACGAGGATAAGTAACATAATAATTAGATGATTGAGATATAGTTCGTGATTCTAGACGACGGCATTTTGGTATTGTTGGTAATTTAGGTGAGCGAGAACGATGAATAAATGATGGCGATTCAGGTTTAGGAAATAACAGATATCCATTTCTATTCTTCAATACTAACGTTGTCATACGAACTGGAAATATGAATCTAGCTCGTCCTTTGAAGTGAAATACACACCCTAAGAGTTAAACTTAAAAACAGAATATACTTAACCTCTATTTGTACTGTATTTTTACAACGAAGAAATATTTAGTGGTTTGGTCTGAAGTCTAACACAGAATAAATGTTTCTCTTCGAATTCTAGTTTTCATGCTTTACACCTAAGGGAGCTCCTCCCCCTTCTCCCCAAACATACGCTCAAACTTTGCCAGTTTGTAGAGGACACCTTCAAGGATATACGTGTGCAATAACTCGCGGGGTGGATAACTTATGACGGGAAGATGAAACTTTTAAAAATTGAAAAAATCGATTTTCCCAGCTATTTGCACCTAGTGCAAAAAGTATTTCTTGTACAGCGTCAGCGAAGCATTTTAGAAAGTTTATGGCATTACAAAAATTGCTCATTACATTCAGCTCTACCGGATGACATTTTGTTTTAGTGCAGACTGCGTAGATACAAAGTTTTAGGTCATAAACTAGGTCCGAGTCAGAATTCTACTTGTAATTGTCGATTTTCTCTAACAGAATTCAACTTCTATGAAATAAAAATATTATATTCGAAATCAGGATCAAAGATTGAGTCGACTGATGTGTATTTAGAAATTTTTAGTTGATTTTAATTTTTTGGTGAAAATCTCGAAAATTTTTCGACGTTGAAAATTCGAAAAAAATTAAAGTAGTCGGATAGGATACAAATATACATTACATATAAATATGAAAGTGCAGTCTGCACTAAAAAGCATCCGGTAGAGCTGAATGTAATGAACAACTTTTGTAATGCCATAAACTTTCTAAAATGCTTCGCTGACGCTGTACAAGAAATACTTTGTTGCACTAGGTACAAATAGCTGGGAAAATCGATTTTTTCAATTTTTAAAAGTTTCACCTTCCCGTCATAAGTTATCCAACCCGCGAGTTATTGCACACGTATATCCTTGAAGGTGTCCTCTACAAACTGGCAAAGTTTGAGCGTATATTTTGGGGAGGGATGCCTCCCCTTAATACTTTAGCAGTGAAGTATTTAGAGTCAGTATTTCGATCTGGTTGGTTTTACTTTGAAACAAACGAAAGCCTTTTCTATATCAATATAGAAAAGTTCAATAAATTTGATTGTTTCATTTTGCGAATTAAATTTTTCCTCAATATTTATTTATCTTGTGATCAATTTAAGTAAAATTATCTTATATGGTGGAAAATTTGGTCAGACACGTGGAGAATAGAGGATACTTGGAAGTACAGGACTAAATACATTGTTTTTTAAAATGATCGCTACTCGACGCTTCACAGTATTTCGCCATAATATTTTATTCTTAAGAAATATAATAAAATAATTTACACTGTTTTGTAGCGAATTAACTAGCGCATCTTTTTAAGAAGAGAATTAAGTCTACATTGTCGAAGATAAAACAAATTATTCGTCAAAATCTCAAGAGAAACATTTATTTCATGTGATACATTTATAAATCAGCTGAAAATTATTACATAATTCTTTAGAAAACCACTGATTTATCGGAAATGGCTCATTACCGTTTGTCTGGAAGTTATCATTTAATTCAATTTGTTATTACTTACATAACTAATAATGTTACTATGATTTAAATAATTTTTCGGAGGATTATTTTCTTTCGTTGTTTTGGAATTCAGATTGTAGTAACTATACCACACCTCTGTATAGTTTAATTGATCAATAAACAGAGAGTGACAGTCGAATATACTCATCGACCGACTCAATGTTTCTTTTGACTGTATATCGACATTACCATTTTTATATTATCTATCGTATAGTATTTTAAATATGTATGGTACGTTTTCAGGGTTTTTTTTTTTTTTTTCTACATTCTCTATTCTCTCTTTTTATACGTATGTTTATTTTAGTTTTTCTTATGGTCATTGAACTCTCACGATACACGGTATATATAGAAGAGAAGAGAGAAAAGGTATAACCGGAACCTTGTAATTTTAGCACACTATAGAATGTAATACTTCGCAAGAGAGGAAACGATGGTTGTGCGATCATACATGTGCGTACAGAGAGAGAAACTATACCTCTCTCTTTCTCTCGGTGTTACCCTTTTTTTATGCCATACTCATTTGTGTTTAACATATTCGATTTTTTCTTTTCTTCTTTTTTTTTTCTTGTCAAAGTGATCAATTATCATATGATATACATACATCATAAACATGATCGCGATTCGTGAATACAAAAAAGCAAGGAAAAATCGTTAACATTCTCTCTCTCTCTCTCTCTCTCTCTCTCTCTCTCTCTCTCTCTCTCTCTCTCCCTGTTCACCATCATCTAAACAAAAATTATTTTCTTTATGATTATTATTACTATTATTGACGATAACTATAATAAACAGTATTGAAACAAAATATTTAAAATATAAAGATGTTTTCTCTTTCATCATACAGGTAATAGTTGTTGAAAGTTATTTATTATTGTGATTATTTTCTCGTATATATATATATTTTTTTATTTTATATGCACATAGTATTGATAAAAAATCTCATTAAATAAACGAGAAAATATGTGTACTAATAAAAAAACCCAAAACAATCGAAGTCTATATAGTTATTATTGATCATGGTATTTTTACAGTGTTTAATGAAACATTACAAAGTATGTGTTGATGACGTTTCGTTATACTTCATTAACTCTCGCTATATTATCCAGTAATATTGTTTTTGAATTAAATAATACTTTTCAAAAGTAGCTAAAACGATAAAAGTGTATAAAATTGTAACCAATTTAAAATAAATTTTCTTTTTCATTAAACAAAATTCTACTGATTTCAAAAGAATTTTTTTATATATTCAAATTTTGAAGCATTATATATTTTGCTCTTGATTCAAATTACAATAATTATATTCGATTCATTCTCTTCTATTTCAAACATATTCGAACAATATTTTATTCTTTTTTCTGTAATTAGATTCAACTGAACGAATTTAAGATAAATACTGTTTAAAAAAAATATCTTCTCAGGACAATGAATGAGTTGAAAATTTATATTTATCGTATAATAAGATCAAATTAAAACGAAAAGAAATGGGTCTAGATACTAAGTTTGTGTAAAAAAACATAGATCAATCTGACGAAGACTACACATTGTGGCTAACTCAATGTACTATCCCTCATAATTAAAATTTATTTTTAATTTAGTATCCAAATACCCTTATAAACTGCATATTTATAAGTTTTCACAGAATCTACAATTATTTATTTAGATTTTTTCGAAACTACAGATTAGAATCTCAATCATGTGATGAATCAGAAATATAGAATTTTGTATAGTACTAAGATAAAATAAAATGCAAAGTATTTTTAGAAATGAACAAACAAGGGAAAGAATAAATACTGGTAAACATGAATTATTCTATTGACTGAAAGAAATGGATCTCCAAAACTCGATTGTGATTTTCATTTTCACACGAACACTGCGCATATACAGACTTCATTGTGATGGACAAACAGACCCAATTATGATGGACAGCTGGTAGAGTCCTACGAGTTTAACCCGATCTCGAAAGCTTTTTTCCGGGTTCAGGACGGGTTTCAGCTCATCTGAACGGGATCGAGTTTGTTTCTGATCCCGGTTCTTCTAGTTTCATATAGGGGGGAGATAAGAGACAATTCTAAATAAATAAAAAGAGTCAAAAATCTTTGAGTATATAACTTCAACTCCTGCTCCATATGGAATTATAGAAGTTTCACACGATGAAATAGTAACGATGTTATGAAATACTAGAACTTGTCCATAATAGAATAGGAGAGCATATCTTTTTCATTCTATTTTGTTTATAAATTTCATATTGTCTTGTTACAATTCTCACAATTGTACTATAAAATATTGATAATAAATTACTTGACTTCTATACTGAAGAATATATGTTTACTTTATATTAATCATCAACAAATATTCATAAACAAAAAGACGTTTAAAAAGAAAATCACGAACTTTTTGTAGTACGAAATAAGAACATGTAAGAAAATGTTTTTTTTCTTGTCAATTGTGAGCAATAAGCGAGCAAGAGAACAAAACGAAAAGAGACTACAAAGATGTACAAAAAAAAAAAGAAGACAAAAAATATTTGTTTTGTCATGTAGATGTATGAAAAATCGCTGTTATTCTATTTGATCGCTGTTTGATTAGGCACATGTGGTAAAAAGAAAAATTTACAAATAAATTTAGAAATAACTGTCTATTGCATAAATTGTACAAAAACAAAAACAAAGAGAAAAAAAAAAAATTTATTTATTTATTTAAGTACATTTGTCTGTCATGATTGTCAACTATTATACTCCCGAATGTAAGAAAACAGGAAAAATGATATTAAACAAAAATGACAAAAAATAATTATCAGTTAAGAAATAATCACATTGAATATTAGAAATCGGAATGATGTTGGACGGGATAAAGTAACAAAGAAAGGAAAAAATTTTAAGAAAATTTAAGACGATGGTAAACGTTCTCTAATTTGTTTTAATTTATCAAGTACATTGGAAAATGTTGGACGTTTATCAGGATCATTTAGCCAAGATTGACGCATAATATCACCAATTTCTGGAGGACAACCATCGGGCGGTTCCATTCTGTGACCTTGTTTCAAATTAATTAAAACTTCATTAGCAGGCTAAAATAAAAAAATTAAGTAAATAATTTCATTTTACAATTTACTATAAAAAGTTTCGTAGTACGTTAAATATTTGAAATAATCTATAGCAGATCGTCAATGTTGATACTACTTACAATTCTAGGATAAGGACATCTTCCATAGGAATAAATTTCCCACAACAATATTCCATACGACCAGATATCACTTTTATGCGTATATTTCTAGAAAAAAATTTAAATTGAATAATATTTTTAGTTTTTTTTTCAGTAATATTACTTTTGATTCTAATGCTTCTGGTGCCGTCCATTTCGTTCTACATTTAATTCTTTCACATCCATTATCTCCCGCCGACTTAGCCAAGCCAAAATCACTTACTTTGGCTGTATTATCATCAGCTATCAACACATTGCTTGCAGCTACATCACGATGAACAATATGATTTTGTTCTAAATAGCTGAGACCTTCACATGTATCGCTACAAAGAAAAAAAATCAAATCATATTAAAAATAGATGTATTACCTATAGAAAAGAGATACGCTGGTACTCTTAACAAACTACATACAATTGATTTACTGCTCTAACACAAAAGAGAGAAGACAGACTGATCTTATTTTATTCATCTATATCGTTCACAAGCAATCATCAGATACATATGCTTATCAAATTCATCTACTTTTCAGAGGGAATAGCAATACATATTATCTCTCATCATATGATTGTCATTTGATTTTCATGTCGAATCAGCATTTATTAAATCTGAACTAACTTTAAAATACCAATTCAAAGCGATTTACCTTTACACAATCATCTTTATATCTAACTTTACACCAAAATTATTTCTTGTAAGGGGCAGATGAGAAACTGGTGATTGTTTCCGGCTATATTTTGTTTTGTTAAAATGAATCAACGTTTCATGAAAACGAAAATTCTACCAGAATCTCGAAATCCCTTCAAAAAACTCTGGAAAACTCTAAAAGTTGTTACAAAATTTTGTACGTGAAACCCTTGAAAAATAGTGGGACCTATTAGAAGCTTCTTCTAAAAATTTTGAACGCTTGGACAGTTGACAAGCCTCCGGGGCTTCTATTACGCGGGGAGGGGGCGGTTTAGTAATAAAATAACTTTCAAACCTCGATTTTGAATCTACTCATTTTTCAGTCTAATTTTTGTATTTAGTTAACACTTTGACTGTTTACGAAAAAACCTAAAACAGCACCTATACGTTCATTTTAGATAGTACGTGATAATGCTACTATAAGACTCAAATGGACAGTTCTTCATGTTGTTGGTACAAAACTTCCTTCAGAAATCTTTTAATTTTCCTGATTATATATGATTCATGGATGTATAGTCCATGTTAAAAAAAACCATTCTGTTTATCGTGTTTTGAAAAGGCACATGCAAAATCATATTTTGTTTATCGTATTTTCAATAAGTACACGTAAAATAAAATTTAGAAGTTCAGAAACATTTTTTCTCTGATCAAAATCATATTTAGTCTGATCCTGCAAATGTACCATATCTAATACATGAACTCCACGGTCAAAACTTAAATGAATCATATATGATACATGGACAGTGAAAGTGTTAATCTTGATAATGAGTTCTAGGGAACTCGAAACGTTGATTCATTTTAATAAACAAAATATAACCGTTATAAAACAATCATCAACTTTACACCAATTCAAAGTGATTCAACTTACATGGCAAAACTTAATAAATCGGTTTTATATATAACTGATCTTCCGCGTGTTGTTAAATAGTGCAATAAACTTCCTTTGGCCATGAATTCTGTTACTAAATAGATGACATTATCTGGACTTTGTGCAACACCCAATAATTGAACAAGATTTGGATGCTTTAATGAGCTAATTAAACAATGAATTCACAAAAAAGTAATTTGAAATATATTGACAAACTTACGACATAATATCGGCTTCATGTAGAAACAATGCAGCTGAATTTGGCTCTTTTAATACTTTGATAGCAACACGAGATTTTCTATATGTTCCTTCGTATACTTCTGAAAACAAACAAGATAAAAGATTATAATAAATGTAAAAACAAAGTTTCAACAACTCCTATGAAGTTTTTGATAAAAAGATGAATATTTCTAACATCCGTAACAAACAGTAATTGCTTAATATATTCAAAATTTCTTACCTGCAAATTCTCCACTTCCAATAATTTTTCCAATTGTTAAATCTTTATATTCTATCGTCGACTGAGTCGGTGGTAGTAGACTTGATGTAAGTGGTACCGAATCTATTGAATCACACACACCGTTCATGTTTGTGCTATTATTGCATAGTGCTTGTTCAAGTCGACAACATAGACCGTCAGCATCTAATTCATAATGCTAAATATAAAACAAATAAAATCTATTCAATTCTATTTTATTAATATCAACACACTTACTTCAACTAATAATTTTAAATCATCAAAAAAAATTTCATCGTCAACTGTATATGAGCCATTTGACAATATTTTTACTCTATAATGTTGAATTTTTGAATCATCTTTTATAGACAGAGTATAATCTCCTGGATAATGTTCACTTTGTCTAACAAGAAATGTACCAAATTTTTTATCAGATAATAACTGTTCAGCCGTTGCGCGTTGAATAGGACCATGATTCCAACTAAAAATATAATAAAAAACATTAAAATCCACGAGAATTATTGTAGATGAATAAACGGTAAAAGTATACAGCAGAGCATAAATAAAGAAAATATTGCTAGTTTAGAAGTTTTTAGTAAAACTTTCCATCCTGTGCGAATAGCTGATTAAATGTCGTAGTCATCTTTTGTATCCAGAGCAGGAAGAAAACAAGGGAAATTGACAAATGTAAACAAGAAATTTGCGAACAATTGATGAATAAAACTGATTTTATCTAAGTTCAAATATTCTTTTCATTCTATTATGTTAGTTCACTGATACTAATATCTTTTAAAATTCCACTAGAATACTTACGGTGCTGTGTTGGATCTAGTTACTTTGATAGAATTTTCATCATTAGCCATCATATAAATTTACATAGTCAACTGCCAGTCCTACAACGAGAAGAAAAAAAGTATTTTGTAAAAAACGAAATTAACCACATCGTCTGCACAAAAAGTGAAGTTTTAGAAGTATATTACATTTAAGTATAGCTTAAGTTCAAACAATGAGAACTCAATATAGTATGCAGACTACAACTTAGTAATCGAAAAAATGTCAGGGAAATCAAAGATTATCGACCTGTATCTGATGGGTGCTACTGTTTTTAAACGTTTAAACATACTAATACAAAGAGAGACTCTTTAAATAATAATAGTTTTAAGCGAAAATCACAAGAAAAATAAAGATTCTTTGTCAAACACACCCTACCTATGTATGAGAAATCATACCGTTTTATAGAAATACTGAAGATTTTCCAAGCACATCAAACATATTAATATGGCATAGTTTTTTTGTTATTTATTTCAGTGCTTTCTCCAAACCAACATATCACCGACAGAAAAATAAAGTTCATGCAGAGCGCCGAAAGTTGCCTTTTCATATTTAATACATTCAATAATCCAGTAGATTTTCTACTTTTGCCGAGACGTATTACTATTGAAACTATTATTATTTACTCATACAAATTGTTTTCCGAAATATTTTCCTGAACTTTAGACAATGTTCCGTATCAGAAATAGAAAATCGTCGAAATTATCGATGAAAGAACGCTTTTTGTACCTCTAAAATAAATTTTAGGTTTTTCTTACACTGGTATGCTCATTGTTACGACAGACAAGCAAAGCGACATTATACAGCAGCGTCCTTACAAAACTATAAAATAAGGATAAACATGATTGACGATGAAGAGATACAGAAAAAAATTAGAAGTCAAAACATATATCAATCAAATTCACCCTTCTTTCTTAACCACTCACAGGACATACATACATATGCGAAAAGATGTGTGTAAGTATTCGTAGCCATTTAAATTACTCTCTTTTCATGTGTTCTCATATTTAAGATATTTATGCACTATTTTCTCATTGGTTATATTTAGTTTTTTTTGGTTCATAGACGAAATTAATGGTGGTAGTAATATATTTGTCTTTTAAATCGGCTGATCCGATAAATTAATTTATGTGACAAAGTAATTAAACTTTATGGCTTAGCCACCGGTAATTTACTTTTCTTATTGTCTTATATCGTCTTGTATTGGAATATTTTAATTCTAAAATATTGTTTTGAAAGAATATTTTACTCCTATTTTTACAACAGTATTTAGATGCTTATCTTTTGTTAAGAGCTTGAGGCTGTTGGCCATCTTCATGTTTCAGATATTTTTTTTTCTTTCATTTATTTATTAGTTTGTTCTAATGTTCATATTTAAAAGATGTTTTATACTTTAATCGAATAAAAGTATTTTCACAATATACATAATGAATGTTAACTGACTGATGTCCCTGATTCTCGTGTCTATACTCTTTTCACTCATGTAAGTGAACGATACTTTATATAAGATTTTCCTGGGTGAAAAAGAATTGTTTAAGTTACGATGATTTTGTTGTAAATTCAAAACCAGAAATCCTACATTAATCTTACAATAGAATACAAGAACTGCATCTTTGCACTCTACATGATAAAATTTCTCTTATTAACCAATGTAGTGAATCAGAAGGTGGTGCATCTCGATCAAGTCATTGAGAAGCATCAAATTCTGACAGTAGAAAGAAATTGATCTAAGATTAACGGAAAATTTTTTTCAGAAAAAGTATTTAAAACTGTAGTAATCTTCTTTTTCAAGCAATTATACTACTCCTGTTTTGTAAAAAAACTTTCAAGTTTTTTCTCGGATAAGGGTGAAAATGGATCTGTGGATCTTTCTAACGCACATCATGACACAAGGGTAAAGGAACAGACGGACGAGAATATATGTAATGTTTTATTAAACTAAACTCTTATATCCGTATGGGTTATAAAGAAATTGTATCGTATAAACTCGGTTCTCTAGATTTTTAGTAAATAGAAGAGAGTTATCTAGATTTCTATTTGTTTTTACTTTGTTGTGCATAATTAATTTTGACTTCTATAATTTTTTTCAAATCTTAATCTTTTACTAGTATTTATTCAATTCTCACTCATCTTGAATTATGTAGATTACATTGAATAATGTAGACAATAAACAGATTGTCTTGTATATTTATTTTCTAATGCATTATATATTCTGAAATTTCATGTAACTCTGAATCCTATAATATTTTTATTTCTTTTTTGTCCAATAAAATAATACTTGTACACTTTTTCTCTATTTAGGAATGTAGTAGTCTTTAATAAAATACTCAATTTCCAGTAAAGAAGCTATCGACAACAGCAATGTATCCTCGTTCCGGGCCATCGACAACAATGCAATCGTCTCAATTTGATTTTAGCGTTAACGATGTATGTGATCGCTTAGAAAAAGAATTTTCTCATATTCAAGGTCAATGTCAACAACTACGTTTGGAATGTGAAAAATTATCACAAGAAAAAAGTGAATTTCAGCGACAATATTTTCTCTACTATGAAATGTCTTATCGTTTATCGTATGAAATGCATAAACAAACAGAGATCACAAAACGACTGATCAGTTTATTACATCAAATCATACCATTTCTTACGCCAGAACAACAACAACAAGCCATACCAGCACTGGAACGAGCGAAACAAGTAACAATGAATGATCTAAATAGGTACGTTTAAAACGGGAGGACTCGCTTGTCGTTTGAAACAGTTAATAGATGTAAGAATTGTCTGAATTAAATTATAAATATCTCGAAATAACTGAGGAAGAAATAGAGATCTTTTATGATCTCTTTCTTTGACATTATATACGAGACGTTTTATATGTGTAAAAAAGTTAAAACAGCAACGTGTTTTTTATATGTAGTGCCATCCAACAGCAATTTCATGCCCAAGCAACAGCTGCCGCTTTAGCCGCAGCAAGCGCTGCTCAACAACATCAATCACCACCAACTTCCGGCAATTCAGTTGGTGGACCAACAACACCTTCAGGCACACCAGTAAGTAAATTCTGTTTTTTTACCCTCATTTTATAACTAAAATAGCAAATACGTTATTATCGTAAGCTTTTCAACCAATAAGTCATTATTCATGTTACTTTCGTATATTCTAGCATTTACAATTACCTGGTCTGTTACCTCCGGGTGTATCAGCCGCAAATCTAGCCGGTTTACCACCTGGATTGTTGAGTTACACAAGTAAGTAATTCATCTATTAAAAAATGTTTGCTAATACTTTAGCACTATCAATGTTTTTCATCTACCTGTGTGCACGTTAAGTTTCCCATTCTTCTTCACTGTTTTAGGTGTTCTGAGTGGTTTAGCTAATCAGTATGGAAATAACATGACGAGTACGGGCTCTTCTGCTACCACACCTACAATGACACCATCATCTGCCGGTCTAAAAGAAGAAAAAGAATCTGGAAACTCATCATATTCTCCTAGTTCAAGGCAAAATAATAATTCTCTACAACATGATAAAACCGGTCGCACTGTTACTCGTTCTCCATTATGTACACAAAACTCGTCAAATAACCATCATTCTAAATCCTCCACAAATAAACATCGTTCTTCGTCCTCATCTTCAGCATCAAATTTATCAAAACATCACGGCAGTCATCAAACACATCATCAATCCCACATAGACTCACGTATACAAGAGAGACAAGAACGTCAACAGCAACACGCTGATATAAGCGATAGTGAACGAAGCGAAACAGGAGATCTTGTTATTGATACAAGTGTTGGTCAACAGCGATCAACATCTAGTCATAGTGAACAAGCATCAGCAAAAACACATAATCATCATCTAAATCATAGTAGTAGCAATAACAATCATCATGACAATAACAATAAAGAAGGTAAGTAACATTCTAAATTATTGACACATCAAAAAATATAGAATTTAATATAGAAAAAAGGATTTTGAACTTGTATTGTACTCTTTCAATTGATCTGACTTAAAAAAATACTGTTTTTTTATTCCAGGTAAATCTCATGCTAATGGCGGTTTATTACTCTTGAACGGTGTAAAAACGGAAGCATTAGACGATAATACCACTCCAACAAATCTTGGCTCATCAAATGGAAATGGTACTAATTCTTCAAGCCGCAATCGGCGTGACCGTAGTCCCATGTCAGACAGGGATTCACAACGTAGTACACCATCATTAAAACGAGAGAGAACAACACCAGTGTCTAAAGCAGTAACACCGACAACAACAGCTTCACAAGCACAAATGATGCAAGCAGCATCACTAATGCCAAGTGCTTTAGCTGGACGAATAGGTACATGATTTATCCTAAGTTATATTTTCGAATGGAAAATGAACTTTTTTAAATGTGTCCACTCTCTTGGATTAGTGTTCATTTAAAAGCACTACAATCTATTTTCTATTGATTTCTTTATTTTTGTATTAGGTGTACCACCGGGCACGTTTGGTTTTCCTGGAGCATTCCCATCATCGGCACAGGAGGCCCAAGCTTTAGCAGCTGCAGCCGCTTTCGGTCTGACACCAAATGCTCTTCATCATTCAGGACCTATGATGAACTCACCTTTTGGTCCAACACCATTTCACGCATTTTCTCCAGGTAAACTGCTTACGTTATTTTACTGCATAATCATTCCTGTTAACCTAAATGTCGTTCATATCATTATATTACAAATTCACATATATCTTTTTGTATTTTAGCGGATGTTGCTGCAGCACAAGCACTCATGGCACATCAACATGGACTACTACAATCTTCACATCAACAACAGCAGGCGGCAGCGTAAGTAGTTGTTTTAAAAATAATTTCTCAATGGTTGTAATATTCTTTGTGTTTCTAGTGCTGCCGCAGCTGTGGCTGCTGCCCAGCGAAGTGCCGGTGGTGGTGGAGGTGGAAATCATTTAATGAATCAAGCCTATTCATTTTTTACAACAGTAGACCCAAATGGAAATCAAATAACAACACCGATAACAATGTCGCCAGAAACAGCTTTAGGCGGTACAAATATACCAAATTCAGCAAGAGAATTGGCCACACTATTACATGGAGAAGTGGTTTGTGCTGTGACAATAAGTGAACCATCGAAACGAATTTATACGGTAAGATTTACATGTAATATAAATTTTGTTGCTTGCTTGTGGTGTCAAAAACGACTCTTAAGCTATCGCAGAGAGAATACATCTGAGAATAATTATTGTACTATTCCGTTAACTATACTTCATGGATCTCTTATAGGGTGGTAAAGGTTGTGTCAAAGTATGGGATTTAAAACAAACTGGCGCAGTTCGTCAACCATTATGCCATTTTAAATGTTTGAACGATGACAGTTATATTCGATTTTGCAAACTATTGTCAGATGATTGTACGCTTGTTGTCGGTGGTGAAGCAAATATTATTTCGATCTGTGATCTATCGTTTGCACAATCATCAACACCCAATAATAATTCATCACCAACATCACAATCACAAACGTCGATACAATCACCGCGTATTAAAGGTGAATTAAAATTGAATGCACCCGCTTGTTATGCTCTAGCAATTGGACCACAAGATTCGAAATTATGTTATTGTTGTTGTTCGGATGGTACAATAGCCATTTACGATATACATAATCAAGAATTAATTAAACAATTTCAAGGACATACAGATGGAACATCGTGTATTGACATATGTCCCGATGGAAAAAAAATGTGGACAGGAGGACTCGGTATGTATTAGTCGATGAATAGAATATGTATGTTATCAATTTCTTAGTTAAGTCGATGAGATATGACAGAAAACGTATACTTCTCTTGAAGAACAGAAGCAGAAGAATATATGAGTTAGAATTAGGCTAAAACGCGACATTTTATGATATTCTTTAACTGATAGAGTTACGTTAGATTACTTATTTGTTTTTGTAGACAATACTGTTCGTTGTTGGGATATAACAAGTGGCAAACAACAAGAAATCTACGATTTTCAATCGCAAATATTTACACTTGGTTATTGTCCATCTGGTGATTGGTTAGCTGTTGGTATGGAGTCAAGTCAAGTTGAATTGATAAATATTAATAAAAAACAAGATAAATATACATTGAATTTACATGAATCATGTGTTTTATCGTTAAAATTTTCCAATCAAGGCAAATGGTTTATATCGGCTGGCAAAGATAATTTTATTCATGCATGTAAAACACCACAAGGCTTTTTATTATTTCAGTCAAAGGAATCTAGTTCAGTTTTATGTTGTGACATTTCAGCCGATGATAGATATATACTAACAGGATCAGGTGATAAAAAAGCAACATTATACGAAGTCATGTATTAACTTTTATTATGCGATAAATTTCAGTTCTAATTTAGTTGACATGTTCGCTGTATGCTGTAGAAAGAAAATCTAAGACTTACAGATCTAGACCTTAGAATCTCAGTTTAGCGAGGCATGAGGATCGGAACTTAAGCAACTGTCTGACTATATCTTCGATGTCTTGCTAACGATCAAAAAATAAAAAATAATCGAACAAAGTGGCAGTTTATTATGCTCCCTTTTACTGCTTTTTGCATTACGCCCACACTCATTCACCACACACACACACACACACATATATACACACGCACACATCCAAAATCTCATTAAAGCCCTACGCTGACTAACATTTTTTTAACTGACTATATTTTTTTTTTTGGATCTTATACTATTTTTTCAATTTAATTTGTTCGAACAAAATTTCTTTGTGTTTATCGTTTGTTGTTGTATAGCTTGTTTACCTTATTCTCTGTTTCTGCAATGTAATTTTCCTATTTGTCATATGAGTTTTTTTATATGAATGTGTATATTTATTTGTTCTTGCTTATGTGCATGTGTTTGTGTATTGGCTTTTTTTGGATGCTCTCTTGTAATCGTATATTTCTCTTTTTTTGCTCTATTAATTTCGAATTTTTTTTTTTTTTCATTGTATAAATATTTGTCTGAAATTTAGTGGAGGTATGTCTTTTGTACACACACAAGTTTGTGGTTGTATATTTCGATAACTCATTGTCTTGTTAGAATTTAGAGTCTACTCTTATTATTCAGCCTTGCTTCGTTTTGGTGGACAGTATGTAATGTGTGTGTGCGCGCGTCTTGAATGAGAATAAAGAAGTTGAATGCGCTAAAATCATACTGACGATGTGTTTATTTGTCTGTTTGTTTTACTGGACCGTGTTTGTTTTCATCTCCTCTTTTCCCCTCTTTTTTGTATTATTTCTGTTTTGCTCTTGTTTCGTGCAACTATATTGAACACAAAATTAACAAAAAGAAATATATTCGTACGTCAAATATTCCTGATGTTGTTAGTAGTGCCATAGGATTATTCTTCAATCTGTAAATAGTATTTGTATCTCTTACATTGAGTACGAACATAATATTTAAATCTGTTGTCATTCTTTATACTAGTAAAACTCAAAACACAGACGATAAAAAGATTAGCTGGTAATATTAGTTTTGGGGATGTATTCGAGATTGCAACAAAATGTTCAATGTTCAACATTATATAAAATTCACTAGAATAAAAGGAAATTTCAAATGTAAACGGACAAAAAGAGAGATCGCTTATTAGATTCTGCTTGGTATGAGCGAAATTTTGTTTTAGTTAGAAGAAACTTTATCGATTTTTAAAAAATTGAATTTCTGTCATATTATATGTTTAAAATTTAAAATATTTGAACAAATAAATTTATTATCGAGAGATTAAGTATTCTAGAGTGATGTTGTTGAAAGTAAGATATAACTTATCTATTATATTGATATGAAAAATGTCAAATCATGGACATTGATTCTGGAATGTTCAATAAATATTATATTAGAAAAGACGGATCAACAATACAATTATTTTATCATTAATTACTAGAAGAGTAAGTATCAAAACTATTTTCTGGTATATATTTTAAACTAAAATGATAGTACAGATATTTACAAATGCATGAAAAAAACAACTATTTCGTTTTAAAAATATATGAAAAAAATTAAATAGTTCAAATGACATTTTAGAACTGAAAACAGAGTACTATGAAATACGATAAATTGTATATGTTATTCTCATTGATCGGACATGAAAAACAATCCAATATCGATGAAGATGTCAAAGTGGAAAAATTAGTGAAGACTTTACTAGTGAGCTAGTTAGTACAAGTTCAATGTTTAAAATAAAAAGTTTTTTCAAAGATTTTCTATTTTGATTATGTGGACTAGGTATAAATTCGAGTTAACTGTAATCGCTGAAAATCGAATGTTCTACAGCCTGTATTTTTTATAAATGAATAATAGGTATGACAATGTATAGTGATATAATATATCTTGTATTAATTATAGAGAAAGAATGAAGAATATCAAAAAGAAAATTGTAGACTATGATAATATAGCTTATAATTTCTCTTTCGTCATATAGGTTTGTAGATAAACCTTAAAATAGAAAACTTTAAAAAAAATAAAAGATGAAGTGTAATGTAACCGACATTTCACAAAGATTGAATGATTTTTCAATGGTAGCTTATTTTCTTTAATTTTTGTATCTCCAAGGTTTGCTTATAAAAAATTGCCACTGATTTCAAACAGAACGCTAGAACGTTAATTGAACTAATTTATTTTAATTCTTGTATACTTCCAAGAAAAATGGACCCAATTTTTTTGGGTTATTTATCTAGATTTAGCTCCACGTACATCTAGATGCACGTGGAGCGGACTCTAATAATAAAACTCTAATGATAAATAATCCAAAAAATTGAGTCGTTTTTGATTGGGCTCGTAGGATATACATAGCTTGATATTAGTTAAACTTATCAATGAGGTCGATTTCTAATATGCTAATGGATTACACATATGTATACATTTTAGGCATTTCTTTCTCCATTTGTAACGGTGACTTACGAATTTATCCGAAAAATCTCATCCAACAAAAACCCATGCTTAAAGAGTATAGAAAATACGTTAATTCTCGGGAAAAAAATTCGAAATTGTAGGGCCATGAAAGTTTTCTAGGATCAATATGTTTCTGCTCTTAGTTTCTTCCTAGTTCAATGATATTGATAAACTGTAGATAACAACGAGTCAGTGCGGGTTGATTTCAAGATGGACATCACTAATATTTTCTATATTTACATTAAAATGTATAAATATGCTTCTAATTGCATTTCAAGGACGATAGTTGTTGATTTAAGGGCTCCCTCTCTCAGAAATGATGATTCGCGGTCAAAAACTCGATTTTGAGATAAGCACATGGAAAGATAGCCTGAAGTGTCTACATTCAGAATCTGCATTGCTTTCGGTTATAGAAGTGATTTTTCGCGGCTTTCGAGAAAGTTTTTTCTAGAAGCTAAATTTTTTTCTCAACACGTAGATTTGTAGTTCGGGTTTGTTTTATTTTAAACTAGACATCTAGCTGCATGGTTTGATCCGCGCCGATTTTACAATTAGAGCTTAGTTTTTTATCAAATTGAAAATTTCTAGAAAACCAGGAAGCGTTTTTTTATCAAGTTTTTGAAATTGTTGGTTGTCTACAAAACGGATAAAGGCTTAAGTGGAAAATCGGCGCCGGTGAGACCGTGCAGAGAGGTGTCTAATTTAAAATAAAACAAACCCGAACTCTCTAACTTGAAGTATATTAAAAAATCTTGGGAAAACGTCTTGGACCTTGATCTGTCATAAACTCCTAAATGGTAAGACTTGGAGACAAAAATATTTTCATTCCCGTAACTCATTAAGCCGAACATTTATGGAAAGTTTCGTCAAGATCGGATGTACGGTGTTGGAGATAATTTCTGAGAGTAAATACAGTTACTCAAATGTTGATCGTCTAAAATATATTCAGAACAGTATTAAAATAAGATTAAAATTATTATGCAACAGTTCACTCGTAACAATTGGTTCATATACCCGCTCGAAAGCACGTCATGTTTCCTACATACTGCAAGTCTAAAAGAGTTACTTAAATATTCTTTTGAGTTTCTTCGACTTATAAACGTACCATAAGTCTCACATCAGAATAATGGTATTGGATTTTTGTGGTTAAACTAACGACCCCACTACTTTGTTTGATGATAGTTTATAGATAAAGATTAAACGAAATAATCCAAAGCATAATCTTTAGCTATGCATGTGAGAAAAATACAAATTGCTATACTTTTGTGTCATACAAAATTGGATGATGTTGCTAGCTTTTTTTTAAAATTATTTGCTTGAAACAAGTTTTTGATGGCGGAAGACAAATGATGACGATTGTACTAAAGCTCTGCTTTGGCTATGTGTAATCTTACACTCATATTTAAAACATACGAATGAATATCAAGCAAAAATGCTTATTCTTCAAATTATGATCTTTATTATCATCAAACAATTTAATGATAATAAAACATTCAAAGCAAAAATGAATCTCCCATACAAAATGAGCGAGGATTTCAGTTGAGATCTAAAGAGAAAGTAGATGAACTTAAGATATCTCTCATTGCCAGTCTGATATTTGTTTTCCACTTTAGTTTTTGAAGGTTCCAACTGTCCGATAGACTCTCGGTCATACATTATCATTGATTAATCACGATTTCGGAGACAAACTATCGAACATATAACAATCGGTTATCATATGTAACTTCTCTTTCTTAGTCTTTTCCAATTGTAATATTAAAATAGTTATTAATGTTGGATTTCTTGTCCTTCACTAGTTATATTAGTTCTACATCATTACATGATTTTCCTGAATTTGTCATCGTTCGGCAGTTCTACTTTTCGACAGTCAGTTCCGACACTGTCGAATTTCGAGCGAAAAATTTTCGACAGACTAAAAATTCGACAGAGTTTTCGTTCGAAAATCAACAGTATCGAAGTTTTTTGACTCGAAATTTTGACACTGTCGAAACACGCTTGTCGAAAACTGTTTCTGTCGAACTGCGAAATTACCGATTTTCCTTGACTTTTAGGATGATTCTCGTTATTCTGTGTATACACAAAAGTCGAATACAATTAGTTTTATTGTATAGTGAACTAATTTTCTCAATAACGAACAATCAAAATGCAAATAATTGAAAATAAAGAGTTACGACACATTTTATAGGTAAAAGATACGTTCGAGAACAATAATCAAAATGGAGTAATAAACAATGAATTATTTAAATAGAGCCCATTCAACAAAAACAAAGATATTACAAGTTTTTGTTGAGACATGACTCCTGTGTGATGTATTAAAATTGTTATTAACCAGCTGCTGACTATCATAGAACAAATAACTTGAAAATATGATGAACATTTCATGATAAAAATTTATATTTTTCTAGATTCCTGCTACTTTGATATGATTTATCATTCATTTTTAAATATACTTTGTCTGATAATGATTAATATTTGTTTATTTTGTTCATATTTCCACATTTTTTATTTTAACAAATAAAGAAATGATAGTAATACACGCATACCCACACATACAAAAAGAAACAACATATATATTTAAAGATAGAGACTACAAAAAAAACGCGCGCATATATTCAACAGAAAAAAAAGAAACAGCAAACAAGCGAAACACACATTCTTCATTCTGAACAATTGAGATGCGTATGTGTGTGTATATGTTATTCTGTTGTACAATAATGACTAACATACCAAAAAAAAACAAAAAAACAATATATGTCTTTACCAGAGAAAACAAAACAAAAAGAGCTCAAAGAAAAGCCCATAATTTATTTGAATTTTCTTTATTTTTTTTCATGGTATCTTAAATTAGATAAACCATCATGTAAAATGAACAGATGAAGAAAAAAAAAACATTTGCTTATTTATTATCTCATAAAACGAGAGCGTGCATGTATGGTGGTAAAATGGAAAAAGAAATAAAAATACATATAACAAGTATTTTTAGCCACATAGTTTTTGGGCACCTGGAACTCATTTTTTTAACGAGTTGACTATTGCTAACGATTCTCGACTAAAATTAAACAAATGTAGAAGATTAGACATTCAAATGACAAAGAATATCAGCATCGAACAATCTTTACTAAAAGCAAAGATTTTGAAAAAATCTAACGATATGTAAAATGACTCGGCTATCGTAATGGATATTTTATAAGAAAAATTCTAATAGATGTTTCAGTTTTCTCCTCTTTTGCAGAATCCTTGAGTTCAGTTTTTTGTGAAATCCACATGTACATGCTAGTTCTTCGAAGTGTTGTCTTCGGGTATTATCGATTTGCTTTAAACGTGTTTTGGACGCAAAAAACGATTTTATCAAAATTCATTAGAAAGGGGAGAGATCTGATTTTTTCGCCTAGGCATAAAAAAAATACAGCTGTTCAATTTGCATACATTCAAGTACATTGTCTCGATTGCTTTAAGATAAAATAAACTCAATCTCAAAATGTTTGATTTTGACCGAGCTATAAAGATTTTTCTAAATGATGCAAAATTGCAGTTTGAAATTGATGAATTTTGTTTGACAAAATCGATAAAAGAAAAAAAACTCTATCCAAACTGCTTGTTATTATGAAGAGTTTTAAATACAATCAGTTGATAGCGTCTATCCTATCTTTTAAATATCTCAACAATATGAAGAGCCAAAGTTGAAAAAACTGTATTTTGAGTTAGAAAACTATGAAGACTGCAGCTATAGGAGGGTATTTCCTTTCTATTTTTTTTATTTTTACAATATATAGAAAAATGTTCGGTGTGTTTTTTTGTGCCACAAGAATGAAACGGTGGATCTTTTCTTTTGTAAAAAAAAAAACTGAACTCAAAGGCTCTGAGAAAGAGGAGAAAACTAAAACATACGAAGATCGTTATTTATTCTGGGCCATCCGTTACTTACTATAGGTGGTGACATCAATTTCATCGGGCATTTCTGTAATTTGTACTTCAAAACGACTTTGTACATCATTCAATATCGCTGCATCACTTTCATCTGCTACATATGTTATTGCCAAACCTTTTGTTCCAAAACGACCAGCACGTGCAACCTAAACGCGTAAGGCATACATAGCGTTAACAATAGAGAAAATAAATCAAAATTTTACTCTATGTAAATATGTGTCAGTATCTTCAGGCATATCATAATTGAATACAATGTTAACACGTTCAATATCCATACCACGACCAAATAAATTTGTTGCTACCAAGATACGTGTCTGAAATTCTTTGAATTCTTTATAACGTAATAAACTAAAAGTATAAATACAGAGGAAAATGTAGAACAATGAATGAAAGTAGAGAGATTCAAGTTAGATACCGTTCTTCTTGTGGCATTCCACGATGTATTTCAACGGCAGGAAAATTTTGCTCACTAAGTAATTTACACAATGCTGTACAACGTGGTACAGATTTAACAAAAATAACAACTTGATTAAATTCTAATTTATCGAGTAAATCAATTAATTTACGATTTTTTTCATTTTCACGTAATTTAACATAATGTTGTCGTAAACCCTAAAGTAAAAATAATGTTGTGGAATTGTCCAATCATTAATTAACGCGTTTTACTGGTAACACACATACATGTAGTGTCAATTTTGTTTCATCATCAATGTAAATTTCCATTGGCTAAAAAAAATGTAAAATGTTTAAAATATACCTGCAGCAAGGACAGTTCGTGTTAATCGAATATCGAACTTTTATTTTAGTTATGTTCTTTTCGAATATGACTGCAAAAAACATAAGTATTGCAATAAATAAAAAGTGACTATTAAACAACTCAATTGAAAATGATGAAAAAAGATGATGTTCTCAGAACGAATAATTGTGCAAATGTAGTTGACCTCACTAGAATCGGAATCGTCAAATTTATACATCATTGAACATCTTGAGTAAATAGGAACTATTAGAATAATTTTTGAAGTTCTTCTCCTAGATTCGATCTGCCGACCTTTCATACGTTGCACTCTCCAACTACGTATTCTCCCATTGCACTAAATTATGCAAAAGGAAACTACGAGTTATAATGCTACATTCGTATGAAGAACTTTAAAAATTTCTAATAAAAAAATCCTCCTATAAACAGTATTTCTCTACAAATAGGAACTATTTTTGTAGAATCCTGTAGCCAAAAATACGTACATCTTGCATGAATTTTTTGCAAACCGGACGAATTTCTTTGCTTAATGTTGCACTAAACATCATAACTTGTTTGTCATGTGGTGTTAATTTAAATATTTCTTGTACATCACGACGCATATCTAAAAGACGTAATTCGAAAATGTTGTATATTCTTTAAATCTTAACGGATAAAAAATCGGCGTACCAAGTGATTCAAGTACTTTATCACATTCATCTAATATGAAATGTTTAACATGTCGTAAATTTAATGCTTTACTTTTAGCCAATGCCAAAATGCGACCAGGTGTACCCACAACAATGTGTGGACAATTTTTTTTCAATATATCTTCATCATTTTTTGTTGGTAAACCACCAAAAAAAACGGCAACACGAACCTGTGTCATATATTTACAAAATCGTTCATATTCACGACTTATTTGAAATGCTAATTCACGCGTATGACAAATAATTATAGCAACAACCTAAAACAGAAGTGAATAGAATATACTACTTTTTTTCTTTAAAGATAAAATTGAAATTGTTTCACGTACTTGTCCCTCTACCGGTTCTAGTTGTTGTAACGTGGCCAAAACAAATACAGCCGTTTTACCCATACCCGATTTTGCTTGACAGACAATATCTGTACCAAGAATTGCTTGCGGAATTGATTCGTGTTGAACTTAACGATAGCAAAAAAATAAAATTTGGTTGTGGTAGTAATTGCACAGAAGCTCTAGGAAATATCTTACCTAAGAAAATTGATATGTTCAAAGTCAATGTAATTCTTTAGAAAATCAACTTACCTTCAGATGGATGTTCAAAACCACAATCCATAATCGCTCGTAGTAGTTCGGGTTTTAATAGAAAATCTTTAAAACCGGATGCATGTATACTAACATATGTACCACGACCAATTTTTGGTTGTAATGAACCATCACTACCATTTTGTATTTTTGATGTTGCTATTGTACCATTATTCCCGGTTCCTGTTGCCGATGCATGATTACCCGTTGTCGATTGTTCATCTGTTTCATCATAATCCAAAAGTTCTTGTTCATCCGTCGTCATTTTTAAGAATGTTAATGTATGTTTATCGTTTGAAGATGAAGAAGAGAAAGTGTTTCGGTTCACGAATATCTGAAGTTGGGTAAATAAGATAGTTTTTTCCTACGATAAATGCATAGTTAAATACCAAATGGAGGGCTGGGCAACACAAATACACACACAACAGGAAAACGAAAAAATAATAGTGCCTATTTACTTGGATCAAAATCAAATATATATCTAAAAATAGAAGGAAAAAACATAATAATGGAAAAAGAATTCACTGTAGAAGAACTAATATAATCATTTTAAGAAGACTTAATATAATCATTTTAAGAAGACTGTCACCAGAGTTCTCAAATGTTCACCGATCAGAAGGACAGTCCCATATTTCGAGAGTTGTCCCACCGGGTGTCTCCATTTGCAAGGATCTTTCTTGTGACTGTTTTTCAATAGACTTTTCACTTTTTGTTAAGCTTTCATTTCAATCTTCTCAATGGCATTTGACTACAAATAATGTGTTTTTTGTCTTGTCTTTCTTCGTAGAAATAAAGTCCCCGTTTATTTTTTATTTAGTCGGCATCCCTGGTTGCTGCATACATTCAATAACTGATACAAATATTAGTGATTGTCTAACTTAGACTTTTCGCGTACAAAAATAAATATCGTCAATAGTAGCCACATCTAGTCGATGTTCTGAAGATAAGTGACCTTACTCAGTATATTTAGGTAAAATGAAAGCAGATTATCTTTCAATTGCTCTCACTTATTCCACTGTCTTCTTCTACTAGAGGAGCACGAACGCGACTCAGTGATCATGTGAGATATTCATCAAGAAAAAACAAAAAATAATGACTAGTTTGATGATTTTTCTTTTATCTGTCGTTCAAATACGAATAAAAAAAGTAAAGAAACAAAAGAAAACAAAAAACGAAAGATCATCATTCGTATGTATACAATGAATATGTGCATTAAATAGCATTTGTTTTTGTCTAAGTTCAATATAAAATACAAGCACAAGAGTGCATCATAAATAATATGTACAAAACAAAAGCGCAGCAAAAGAAACAAAATGCTAAGGGTAGACAGGTAGAAAGGAGACATTCTTATAATGAGAAGAAAACACATGTCATGATGAAACGAAGAGAGATGTTTTGATTCGAACAAGAGAAAAACAAAGAGTGTAAATTCACTGTTTGTGATATAGATATAAATATAAAACTAAAACAAGAAAACAAGACGGCACAAACAAACAACATGCCTAAAAAACAAATAAACAGTATGAAAAACAATTTATTCGAATCTTGTTGTCATAATAAATAATATCAGTAATACAATAGGAAAAATATACTTGTATATGGCACAGTGTGCGAGTAATATTCCAGATCTAAACGTAGTTTTTCTGGAATGTAAACAAAAAAACAAGATTCTTTTTTTTATCAGTTTGCAATGAAAATATGTACGTTTCTACTTAATATTATTAGTCAAATTATACAAAGGGTAAAAATTTTGAAACGAGATAGAGAGTGATAAAAATAACTACAACTACAGGCGCATTATGTCTATTTACATAAAATGCATGTCAGAAATTTACATTATCGTTATATTAAGAGATCTCTGCAACCAATAAGATAAAAGAAAAAAGAAAACTACAACAACAAGAGAGATTATGAAACAGTCGATATTGTTTGAGGTGTAGATGGCGGTGGTTGTACTTGTGCGGGTGGCGTATGTGGTTCAAGTTTTTTTTCTGCTATAACAACATTAACAGTAGATGTTGAAGATGAAGTACCATTCCAAGTGTTAGGTGTTGCACTAGATGTTGAAGATGCAGGAGTATTGTTTACATTTGTGTTGATCGATGGAGAAGTCTACGAAAAAAACAAGTATTATCGTTGTTAAAGTCTGTGAATGATCAATTATGATTTTCATAGAACCGTTACATTAAAAAGGCTAAAGCAAGATGACATTTTATGTAAAAATCAAGTCAAGTAGTTCACTATTGTGACCTTGACTTTTATACACCCTCTTACCTGGTAATTATTCCCCGTTATGATTGGTGTTTGTGATACAGGTGGCGAATTTAAATTTGCTGCCTGCCCACTAGTCGCTGTTAGCGATGTTTTCTGTGTTCCCTGAGGAGGAGGAGGAGGAGGAGGTAGAAGATTTTGTTTATAATTGGTTACTGTTTTGTTATTATTCGTAGTATTTCCATTGTTACTGTTATTACTACATGTACTACCGTTACTGTTGCTATTTGATGCTACGACATGATTTGTATGATTATTATTATTATTTTGCATTATATTTCCACTCAGTAGTGTTACTTGATTTGTCGACGATGATGTTGAAGATGTGTTTGAGGATGGTGATGAATTAAACATTGATGGCAATTGTGAAGAATTATTAGGAGAAGAAGATGGTGGCTGATTAACTTCTCGTTTCATATGATTTAAAACAAATTGTTGTTGTTGTTGAAATGGACTTAACAGTCTCGTATTATTATTATTATCATTTTGTTTCATTATCATGGATTTGTTATCAGTTTGAAACGATTGCTGTTGCTGTTGAAGATGATGTTGATGTAGAGGATGAACATGAGAAAGCATGCTCATCGCAGCTCCCGAATCGTATTGAGTATTTTCTAAACGAGTAATGTATCTTTCGTCTTCTTCATCGAGATCGCCGCCCATTAAAGATGGCTCTCCAACAATCATTACATCCTAAGAAAAGATAATAAATATTGAGTATTAGGATTGATTGATAAAGGACGGGGGCTTATAAGGGTCAAATTTTTCCCTTGATATTTCTGAACAAGAGTTACATATTCAGAATCAGCGTGAAATTTTGTATCGAATGAGGTAATGGGCACCTTGGAAAAACCATTTTCAATTTTTCGGAAAATTTGTACTCCCTATCCCACCTTTGGAACATCGAAAAAATTTGGTGCTGATCGTGAATATCAGGTCAAAACTGGAAAATAGTTAAGTTTTGATCGAAAAAAGTCGATTTTACTGACAGATGGCGTCAGCGATCTGGTTCATTAAAAACACGCCTTTTCCCCTTAGATTTGGTACGGAAACCTTCAAAACCGCCTAGATATACTCAAAAATGTCCCAGCTTTCCGATACGGAATAGAAATCCACGTCAAACTAGCGTTTTCAGGCCAAAACCGGATTTTGTAACGTTTTCTGGAAAACCTTAGTTGGAAAAGCATATCTAGGCGGTTTTGGAGATTTCCATACCAAATCTAAGGGGAAAAGGCGTGTTTTTAATGAACCAGATCGCTGACGCCATCTGTCAGTAAAATCGACTTTTTTCGATCAAAACTTAACTATTTTCCAGTTTTGACCTGATATTCACGATCAGCACCAAATTTTTTCGATGTTCCAAAGGTGGGATAGGGAGTACAAATTTTCCGAAAAATTGAAAATGGTTTTTCCAAGGTGCCCATTACCTCATTCGATACAAAATTTCACGCTGATTCTGAATATGTAACTCTTGTTCAGAAATATCAAGGGAAAAATTTGACCCTTATAAGCCCTCGTCCTGTGTATCTAATCTTACCCCTGCTAAATGATTTCCTACACCACTCCCTGAATAAGATGAATGTAATGGTGGTGCGGGTGATCGTTTTTTTGCATGGGATGTGGGTGTTGAACAATGATTTATATTATCTTTTGCACTTGTATTATTGGCCATATTCGATTTGCGTTTTCGACGAGTTTTAGCAGGGGGTCGGGTATCTAGTGTAAAAAAGACAACGTTATTATAGAGTTGTAGAACTTAAAAAACATTACTAGGTAAAATGTAAAGAAAGTATTAGTCTTGTTAGGAAATCAAATAAGCATAAAGTACTAATAACATTAAATAAAAACGTGTAACGCAAAATAAGGGTCGTCAGTAAAATAAGAGTACTAAATGACCTCTGTGATGAGTTTTTGATTTTGAAGGGTGAAAACTTTTATTATGAACATGAACACTGAGAATTTTCACTGAAAATGAATACAATTAAGAATTTTCTCACTCTAATTTTGCAGCTGTTTGTTAAATTACTTAGAATTTCTAACACTTCACTTCGACACCGTTAATTCGCTAACAGACAGCCTCATTTTTAACTTTGAATACTTCCGAACGATAGCTACGATGGTATTAATTAAATTTCTAATGTACCGATAGATAAAATTAACCACCGTTAATCGACAATAGTTGACTTCAAAGTAAAGCTTTTCCTCTACAATTCGCAATATAGATAGATTGTGCTTCTTTACTTCTTTTGAGAATTATTTTTTTCCTAACACTAAGCGTGGTAGTGGCAATAATAATAATGAAGATGATGAACTAAATATTATTGAGGTATTAGTGAAAATAGCAGTTAATGGATGGCATTATGTTTAAATCTTCCGTTAATATCAAAAAGTAAATTTTCTACTTTGAAAGATTTTATGACTCATTCACATCGAGCCAAATAACGGAATATATCTTTCATTCTAAGAACCGATACAGATGCTCAGAAAGACTGGAATGTTATTCTATTCGAAAAGCAAGGTGTATTTTTTTATAAAAATTTTCTTATCTTACTACCTTTATTTTCCACTCATTCCACTCACGCCAAAAAGAACTGAATTAGGACTACTATCTGAGATGATAATAGACTTAATTGAAAACACTGCTAGTAGAGGCAAATCCTTATCGACAAGAAATTCTGAAAAATATTTAAGTAGTTTCCCACACATTTGCACAGGTTGACAACAGATAACAACTGATTTACAAAATCTTTCAAGATTTTGATCGTTATATATCAGTTATTAAAATGGAGGACGCGTTTGAATTCCTTGAATCTAAATTCAATCTGCTGAAAACACAGGTCCCATTGTTATGATATTCATTTTTAATGAACGTTTCACATTAGTGCATGCAGTTAATTCGTTCTCAAAAACTACTCTTCTCAGTAAAATCCTGGTTAACAATAAAACTTATACAACACTACAAGACCATTATAAATAAACAAGCTTACCCGGACAAACTCTTGACCATTTTTGATGTAATAGTGTTCTAAGACATTCACGAGGGGAAAAACGGGTCGTTTTATGTCTAGACATTAACTCTTGCATTGGTTCAAGCAACACACACAACTATAGCAGAGACAGTTAATTAAACATCATTAAAGAGACTATACAAAAGATAGTTACTTTGAGAAAATGTAGTGTATCAGTTGTTAAACCACAACGAGTGATATTTTTAGTCAGTTGTTCCAAATATCCAGAATCAGACTACAGAGACAGACAAAATTAATTGTTATAAATTATCATAATGTCTATTGCAGTTAAAAAACATACTGGCATAGCTATAACACTTCTTGGAATGAGTTCACGAAATGATTTAATGCTAAAATGCCACGACTTGATTCTCATCAAGTCATCAAACGTAAACTCTAGTATCAATTGGCCTTCAGTGCAAACCTGAAAATAAAAAGTCATTAAGCAATGAAATAAGAAAAGTTTTCTATGCTGCTACATTCAAAATGTTAGAACAAGTCAGATCGAACATTGATAAAAATCTCGAACTTAAGCAAAATCTTTGATAAATCTAAGTAATATTTACCTTAATGTACATTGGTTTTCCAAAACATGACACCATTGTGCTCAGCTCACTATCAAGTGTAATTGTTGTTGTATGAAATGATTCCTTTGTTTGTTTTAAAACAAAATAGAGTTCATTGACACCACCGTCAAATATTGTACGAAAATATCGAGGAATTAATGTACGCCCAATGGCTAAAAGAGAAAATCGTAGTTTAATTTATTCTGTACTTTTCAATCTAGATATCACATACTGAAACGCTTTGGTCCATCTTCTAACGAAAATGTCAGTGTTAATGTGGCATCTTCTTCAAAAAAGTCTGTTATAAGCTGATCCCACCATAAATTATCACAGTCCTAGAACCACGAAAAATCTTAAATCTTTTTTTTAGAATAGGAATATACATACTTCTGTTCTCGATGATAAACGTTTATTAAAATCATAGATTCGATATTCTGGCGAATACGGTTGCGGCGGTCTGCAAGTAGAATAAATAATTAATTAGTGTTTAAAAATTTGAGTCAAGCAATAATCAACTTGCCTAAATGTACGTAGTTGTTGCGGGCTGAATGTGGAAAACAAAACAAAACGTTATACATTTCAAGAAACAAACTGATTTGTAGATAAAAACTCACTGATTGAGCAATCAGATAATATTAATATACTGTCTTTCAATTCAGTACTTAGTTCACTGCACTTTTTGTTTTTATACTTACGGAAACGGTGGTCCTGGTTGTAACACTTGATGAATTCGTCCTCCCGGTCCCGGATGTATAAGATGTGCATGGTGAGCCGATGGATGATGATGATGAGAATGTGGTAGAACCTGTGGTGGTGGTAAATGTGGCTGCTGATGCCAGTCTAGCCCTGGATTGAAAGCAGTCGGATCCACTTTTGATCTAAAACAATTCCGAATCGTTTTTCACAATCGAAGAGTAAAATCAAGAAAAATAATTCACCAGTTTGTAGTCCAACAGAGCCACAGTAATTCGGAAGACAAATGTTATGAGTTGATTAACATTTACAAAATCATTGAATATAAAAAAAATTTGATACATGGTAAATTTACCTTAAGAATAGAAGCAAAAGTACTAAAAATATTAGGAGAGATGGTCAGCAATTTACAAACCTGGCTTCGTTTTATCATAAATTTCATAGTTCTATCGTTAAAAAGATACAACTACATAATGAAATCTGAAACAATAATATAAAGCTTCAAAGAGAGCCTAGGTACCTTACGACCACTCAAAAGGGCAGACTGACTCTTAAAATATATTTTTCACACTTTTTAACATCCACAAATTATTAATAATTGAATCAACCCCGACATCTTTCAAAAAAAAATTGAAACTTGCAGTCCATTTTCATTCTCATTTTTCATCTCATTCATTCATCTGTCAAATCCACATCATACCCACGTTTTACGAGCTCTATCGCATCCAATCGGCTTTAGTTTAGGTACCCTAAATCTATCTAGCTTTATGAATAATGACCGTTCTTCGCTAAAAATATCACTCGGCTAATAGGCGATCTATGTAAGGTTATGAATCTATCTATAGATGGACAGTGCTAAAATGAACAATACAGTAATGCACTACTAACATCACCGTTGTGTTGTCACTTCTATTAGCGAATGCCAGGCTTGAGAACGTGAAACCGCTGATCACACTGACATGAACGAATCGTTCACTTTCACTGGCAGGAAAAAGGCATTTGAGTTTGGGGTGTTTGTTTCTGGCATTTTAACAAACGTTGACGCAGAATAATCCTCCGGATACCGATATGAATGCTAGAGAATGCCAAGCGTGAAAGTTCAGTTCGGCGTTAGTCAATCGTTTAAACATAAATTTACTCTAATTGCACCGTCTTTTGTCTAATTACAGCATATAGCAACCTCTTTGCTAGGCGAGAATGATAACGGTTTATAATTGGTAGTAGTAAAATAATGTATAACAATCGATATTTTTGTTATGCATCACTTCTGTGCAGATCGTTCATCCTGAATAAAAAACATTTGAGTTGTCTAAATTAGAATAAGTTGATCAGATGCCGCTTTTATCCTTTTCAGGATAGAAACAACAAATGATAAATATTTACTTAATTATCATTATTCTGAGTAATAGTAGCAACTTAACTCTGCAACGAATTTCATTATCGCTCTAAAAATCGTTCACACGATTAAATTTCATGGACGTTATAGAAGACACTTCTGATCCTCACAAAATTGTATCAGCCTTCTTTCAAACTGTTCTTCTAACCTATGACTCGCATTCCATCCTTTGTTTTTCTCAAAAAATAGTTTTCTCTTCGTTTTTTTATTTAACTACCACTAACTGGAATAATCTTCTGGAGTCAGTTATTTGTTGTTCTTCTTTCACGTCTTTCAAAGCAATATTGTTCCTTTATGTTTTACATGAAAAGTTTAATTATATCATAGTTCATTCAGCCGTGTTATTTGTTTTCTTTTTGTTTATTTTTTATTCTTTTATTTATCTTTCTATTTATTCTAGGTGTCTTCCGTTTGTTTATCGTTTTCTTTTGTTTATGTTTGACTTTAATGATTTAACCACAAGTTGGGACTAAGGATGCATGTTATGAGCCTAGGGCTCGAGTTTTTCGAGGCTTTAGGAAAAAGTACACACAATTCGAAAGAAGGAGAAGACAAAAGTTTTTTTTGAATATACTGAAATATAAAGTAAACATTTTTGTATAAATGAGAGGTCGTAAATCTCTGAGCGTTCTATTATTCGCACTCTATATTTTTTCTAATAGTATCCGGCACTGAGTCTACGCTCCGACTCGGCTGAGTTAGGAGTTTATTACTGAATGAGTACAGAGTTACAATTGAAAAGCATATGAAGCTTGCCAATCCCTTATTTATTGTAGAAAAATATATCTCTTCATTTCCAGCAACCCATCCACCTAGTCAAACTTTAGACATTCATGACAAAGTTTGAAAAAGATATAAAATATGCTCGTAAGTTTCTAGTTGGACCTTTGATGATTTCCACTTTTTGCAAATAAAAAACTTCGTCTTACTATCAGTTGTATAATATTTAATGCTTGGTTTATATTTAAATGATGATTATAAGTTTAGCTTAACTTTATATTTGCTATTTCAAATTCATTTTTTGAAAGAAAAGTGAACGTAACTGAGTGTGAGTAGTAAAACTGGGAGACATGATAAAGAAAACAATCGGTATCACTTTCTTTTTAATTTATTTTGCGTAAATTTATTGTTGATCGATAAAACTTGTATGAGAAGACATCATTATATAAGTTATATTCGCTAACTTAGCAGAATATTAAACTTGTCATTATCAGTTTTTATTTTTAAAACTTATTGATGAAAAATCGTATTGTATTCTTTTGTTTGTAGATTTATTAAAGAATTAGTTTCTTCTCTTTCAAATGGCAGAAGATGGTGATCAAGTAAGGGTTAAAGCGCTACAATAAAACCATATTTTCATCTGTTTTTCTTTTTTACCTATCTTCTAGCCTGTTACTCAAGGAACAACAATTGAAGAACCACTTGATCTTATTCGTTTAAGTTTAGATGAAAAAGTTTGTGTTAAAATGCGTAATGAAAGAGAATTAAGAGGACGTTTACATGTGAGTGTTTTATCTATTTTTCAAATTTTTTCATCTGTTTATATGTATGTGTTACTTTTAGGCATTTGATCAACATTTAAATATGATCTTAGGTGAAGTCGATGAAACTGTTACAACAATTGAAATAGATGAAGAAACATTTGAAGAAATTTATAGGGTATACTTCTTAATCTTCAAGCGGATAAGCGATTAAAATCGTCTATGTTTTCTTTCTAAATTCAGCCATCGAAACGTCAGATTCCAATGTTATTTGTTCGCGGTGACGGTGTTATTTTGATATCACCATTAACAAAATCCCAAACATAAATTCTATTTTCTGTTTTTTTCTATTGTTGTTGTACGAAACACTTTAAACATTTTTTTTGTATGTTGTATGTTATGAAAATAAACTTTAATTGTTGTCTTAACTTGCAATGATTAAATTTTGTCAAACACTTCGATATTTCATGTCATTTATCGATCTCCACATCATAGTTGTCACGTTGAGACGTTGTATTCCCGAAGATGGGTTTAAAATACCAAGACATTAAACAGGACTTTATTTACACCAGCCATGTAGTACACATCTGTCAATAGAAAAGATAAATTAAAATGAGTCTTGCTGTCAATTCAATACTATACTGCATTCGAAAAAGAGCAAGAGTATGTATTTGTGTATCGGAAAATGTTCAGCTATCAATCACATTGAGATATTTGCTTAAGCTATTAGAGTAAAACTTTACCTATATACATCATAAACTATTACAAATTCGAATTGTTTAATCAAAAGATCCAAGTACAGCAGACATCCAGTTCGACATTTAACAAAAAAACAGATTTAATTAAAGCATCGTATACTTCATTATTAGAACTATTTATCTGTGGAATATGCAGAAATCAAAATTGTCGTGGTTTCTGGTTGGACTAATAAAGTCGCTTGTATTATAAAGACATTCAAATCTGCTAGAATTCTCATCGTCGTTGACCGATCTGAAGTTGTTATTGAGTTATTACTATTGAAAACATAACTTCGTCGAAGCGTCATTTCCTGGCGGACGCCCAAATCAAGTTTGTTGTCGACTTTAACGTTTAATGTAAGTGTAATAAACACTGCACAAAAATCTCTCTAGACGAATGCAATCCGTTTTAGTTTGTTAGGATGAATTTTAGAGAGGCATTTAGGTATGCACCAGTTCCAGAACTGGAACTGGAACTGGTGGTAAAAATTCAAAAGTCTTTTAATAGGAACGCTTTGTAGAAAATGATATTAACTACACTTGCATGTACGCATACAAATGATTTAACTCTAACTGCAATTCTAATTCTAATAATTCGTATTGCTACTGAAGAATCGAAATTAGTGCATACCTACATGTGACTACAACAGATTTAGTAACATATAATTATTATATAATTTTATAATTTTATAATCTTAACTTTAAGTTCAATTAATTAATTACTATGGACTAACTATGAACTTCCTTGCAATGGAACTGATAATTCGTACTTTTAGAGAAAAACGGTATCTGATAGAAGTTTTTCTATCACATAGATCCATATTATTGCAGAATTAGGTATTCCGATTGTTTGAGTCATTGATTTATGTATGAACGTACAGTGTTAATCTAATTTATTTTCTAACCACAGAAAAATCGATTTTGTAAATTTTTTTTTTTGCAGTATGGGAGAAACAAAAGCGGATTTAAATTCAGATAGAAACAAAAACAAAGTTGTAAAATTCCCTCATCAATATCTCGACTAAATCTTAAATTGCACTAATGAGGGAATTTCACAACTTGTTTTTGTTTCTATCTGTATTTAAATCCGCTTTTGTTTCTCCCATACTGCAAGCATAGCTAGAGGTGCGAAGGCCTAGCTAGTGAAAACAAAGCAAACGCAATAAAAAAATAATTCTTGTATAATGGTTCAATTCTTGGGCCACTATTTTTTATTATTATTGATGATTTGCCACACAATAGTGTGCACTTGTAGTTTATTTGCAGGCATGGGCGAGTCCGAACTAGGACTCGAATCCGAACTGCAAGGTTTTTTTTGAGCACTCGGACTTGGACTAAATCTTAAACTGGTGATTCTTTCAGAAGACTCGGACTCAAACTTGAGTTCTTGCATTTCGAAAAAATGAAAGCTGAAATAACAACAACTTCTGTTTCACAAGAAATTGAAAATTTTATGCGGGAGACGAGCATACAAAGTAATCTTATTTTCGAAAAATCGGATATCTATCTAGATCTCTGTAAATTAGCTAAAAAACTTTTATGTATTTCGGTTACATCGACACCTATTGAACGTATTTTTTTCTCAACCAGGAGCACGTTTTACGAAAAACAATCTATCTCAACTGACATTGTTAAAATGTAATAGAAGTTTACTTTAGTAACTTTTTCTGTACAACAAGATTGATGTTAAATGGCACAGAAGAAAAAGAGAAATAAACCACAATCATCAGAAAAGAATCTAAAAGATTACCGGACTCGAAATGGACTCGGTCCTTAATGTTAGCGACTCGGACTCGGTGGGGGGGGGGGCGGCGCGGGGGG